CCATGTTTTAGGTATATGGTGTCTTATTTTACATTATTTTATAAATACTTTAATTTTTACAGAAATATTTATTTTTACTGTTTTGGTATTTTTACTTTTTATGCTTTCACTTATGGTCTTTCCTTTCCACTGGAAAAGTCCCCTTTATAGTTTCTTGTAAGAGTGGTTTATTGGTCATGAACTCCTTCAGTTTTTTGTTTGTTTGTTTTTGTTTTGTTTTGGAAACTCTTTATCCCTCTTTTTATTCTGAATGATAGCCTTTCTGGATAGAGTATTCTTGCATGCAGATTTTTCCCTGTCAGCACTTTGAATGTATCATGCCACTCTCTTCTGGCCTGAAAAATTTCTGCTGAAAAATATGCTCATAGTCTTATGGGGTTCCCCATATATGTAACTGTCTGCTTTTCTTTTGCTGTTTTTAATTTATTATCACTAGATTTTTCTCATTTTAACTACTATGTGTCTTGTTCGGTTTGGTTTGATTTTGTTGGCTGATATTTGTGCCTCCTGGATTTCCCATATTAGGAAAATTTTCAGCTATTATTTCTTCAAATCTTCTCTCTCTTCTTCTGGGATCCCTATAATGCCAATGTTATTATGTTTGGTGGAGTCACCAGGTTCCCTTAGTCTATTCTAATTTTGTGTAATTTTTTTCTCTCATTCTGTCTTCCAGGTAATTAATTCATCCCCTGCTTCATCTCACGTGCTATTTATTCCATCAAGTGTAATTTTAATTTAATTTATTTTGTCCTCAATCTGTGATTGATTGTATCTATCTCCTTATTATGGGTCTCATTGATGTCTTACAGTCTTTTCTCTAGTCCAATGGGTATCTTTATGATCATAACTTCAATTTTTCTATCATGCTTATTATTTATATCTGTTTCACTTAGGGCTTTTGCTGCGGTTGTGTCCTGTTGTTTCATTTGGGAAATATTCCTCTGTTGCTTCATTTTGTCTAAATCTCTTTTTCTGTTTCTGTGTGCTAATAAAGTCAGCTACATCGCTTGGTATTGAAGATGATGGTTTCATTAAAAAAAAAAAAAAAAAAAAAAAGAGTTCCTGTTAGTGCCCTGCAGTGCATTGTCCTCTGTTCCCCAGGATGTGGTACTTCTGGAAGTGTCTCCTATGTATGCTGCATGTGCCCTATTGTTGAGTCTTAGCCATTTTTTTCTTCAGTCCAGTTGTCTGTAGAACCTTTCTTTGCCTATTGTGGGTAGTGTTTTGTCCTCGCCTAGGTGGAACACATTTTAACAAATTGTGCAACAGTCTGCTAGAAAAATGAGACCTGCTACTGCCTGTTGACAGAACTGTGTTTTCACAAACTTGTGGGTTAGGAGATGAGTTGTTGATGGGGTTTGCACATGTTTTCTGTGGAAGGGAACCTAGAGCACTGAGACTGAGACAGAAGTGATGGGAAGAGCAGATCTACTGAAGGGCGGGGTAACAGAGCTTGGTGTAAGCAAGTTAGGTAAAAAGAGTTGGCATTGAGCTTGTGCTCTTAGAGTTTATGGTGGGTTTATGCTAAGGTGTAGAGGAAGGAAATGTCATTTGCCAGCTCCTTTGTTCCAGAGGGGTCTTCCCATTACCCCTGACTTTCTAGGCCACACTCTGAGATGAGTAAATAACCCTCCTTCCTGTATGCCCCAACATTTTTCAAATTCTGCTTCCAGGCTCTATCTCCTCTGTTTGTCGTGCTCCCTCTTTAAGAGTGGGAAGTCAGCTTCCCAATGCCTGCCAGGCTCTCCCAGAACTAACTGTGATGAGTTTTAAAGTTCTAGACTTTAAGTCCTACTGGTTATAAGAACTCATGAAATTTGGCCCCTTTCACTGTCTTGCTTTGAAAGCCAAATGTTTTGGGGATTTGTCTTCCCCATTCAGGATAGCCAGTGTGATAGTGTGTTTCTCACCCTTCTCTGTGTCACCAGCTCCCTCCTCATCATGGATTGCCATAGTCCATTTCACTCCCAAACCACAGCTTCACTCTTCCTACCTTCTTTAATGTGTCTGTTCTCTAGCTTTTGTGGATTTTTTTTCTGCCTATCTTCGGGTCATTTTCTGGGTTATTTACACTGATGTGAGTGTTATCTAATTGTATCCGTGAGAGGAGGTGAGCTTGTGGCCCACCTACCCTGCTATCTTCTCTGTTATTCCCCCTCCAGATATGAGAAAGTCTTGAAGACTGCTTATCTAAGGCAATTAATATTCACTAGTTGTAATACAAAAGGAATTGAAATCACAGTTCACTCTTTTATAAAAAAAAAACTTTTTTGTTTCACTATTGTTCCAGAAAGGATTGAAAATAACTCAAAATGCTGCATACTATAGCAAGACCACATAAATAAGTATGAAGTGGTGTAAATTAATAAAGACAAAACTGAGTAAGGACATAAAAATAGAGGCATGAAAGATTATAATTAAAAGAAAAAACATACCATAAAAAGAAGTCCAAACTTGCTACCAGTAGACTATAAATTAGTTCCAGGTTTTTCAGCAGACTATATAAAAAGAGACATATGAGACACAATTATCAATATCCATAAGAATCAAATCAAAACAATTACTTAGGAAATATTTAGTTTTTCCCAATATTAAACATTAACAATATATTGTGTTTCTAAGGAGAACACAATAACAATAACAATAGTTATCACACTTAAACCTGCTCATATTATTAAAGAATACCCAAAAGCCTTTAAACTACCAACTCATAAATTTACCCTAGTCTAGGGAAGATATGATGATATCAGTTAAAAATAAACTTTGAGGAGATACATACAGAGACAAGAGGAGTTCAGAACTATGGGAAAAATAGGACATCTGTACTTTTTTTTAGACTCTTATGACTGAATATTACTTTGTTAGAAGTGATATTGATTCCTACACAGTTAGTAATATTAAATAACTAAAAAACTCTGTTCTTAAAGTTAATTTAAGTTATCAGCTTTTTCGGTTGATCCACAGATTTACTTTTTTTTAATTTTTATTTTTTAAAAATTTATATCCAAATTAGTTAGCATATAGTGCAACAATGATTCCAGGAGTAGATTCCTTAATGCCTCTTACCCATTTAGCCCATCCCCCCTCCCACAACCCCTACAGTAACCCTCTATTTTTTCTCCATATTAAGAGTCTCTTATGTTAGATTTACTCTTTTTAATTAAAACTTTAAAATCAAAACTTTACCTGAATTGAAATTGTCTTTACCTAAACTGAGTCACTGACTTCTGAACAACTTTTTCTTCCCTTTTTAGGACCAATGAAAAGAGAAGACACTTGCATGCAAAAGGAAATGAGGTAAGCTGCAGGCTTTCTTAGCATGTTAAGGTTTTTTTTTTTTTTTTTCTGTGAAATGAAGGTAGGAGGTAGTGAAAATAGCTAATTATCAGGAAAGGATTATTTTTCTCCCTCTGTCTCAGGGTTTGGCTTTAAAGCTCAACAGTTATGGAAAGTTTTTTGTCCAGAAAATATTAATACCCTAAGAAAACTGGCTCACACTGCCCAAATTCACAAAGGATAGATTTTTACTAGAAATCCAATTTAACAATTTATATTGAGGAACAGAACTTCCAAATGGACTGAAACGTGTATTGGACTGTCAGTGTATTCTCCTTTTAGTAGGATGTCAAGCCAGAAAACTAAATTAACAACAGATTCAAATGGGATAAATATATCGAGTCAGAATTAAGAAGGGGATTAGAAGGTCAAATATTTGATATACCTCAGCCAGGATCTTTTCCTTTTGTCAGTATCTTTTCCTTTTGTCAGTCCTCACAAGTCATGGTCTTTTTATAAATCAGTTCAACTTCATAGTTTCTAGTGTTAAAAGTTTGTCTTTCCCAACTCTTGAGGCCCTTGAAATTTGTATTAAACATCTCTGAGTATTATACATGGCTTCATCTAGATCTTGAATGGTTCTGGTTTTATAGGGCGAGCTTGTTGCAGATCTAGATTGCCCTCCCACAAAAATGTTGTCATTTACTTTCTCCTTACTAGTTTTATCCATAAATTAAAATGCTACTGTTCGACCTAACCTACTATACTTACCTTTTTTCCCCTTTGCTATGGCTATTACCCAGAAGGCTCTTTGCAGCTCTTGGCCCTGGTTTCTGAATGCGGTTCCCTTACATGCCCACAGAAGTTTGTACATTTTGTAAACCTTGTTTTTTCAGAACTACTTTCAGACTTGGCTGACACTATAATACCCAAGTATATATTTTTCTTTATTTTCATAATTATAAGGTCCCATAAACTTTTTACATAAAGACCAAAATCTTAGTACACTGGAAGGAGACTCTAATCAGCACTTTTCATTTATTTAGTCATGAGTTATTTGAACATTTGTTTTTTTTTTTCATTCATTCCCTCACTTATTCATTCAACAAACATAAAAGTGCTTTGTTCTAGACTAGTTGGGAAAACAGAGATGAGTCAGACATAAAATATTTGCCCTCAATCAGTTTGCAGTATACAGAAAGGATAAACCATGAACAAAAATAACTAACTATACATTAGGTTTTAAGCCTTGAGATGAGAGGTTGAGGGAAAAGCACTCCATGTGGAGGGAACCTTTTAAGCAAAGGTACTTCAACTGCTGTTCTTGAGGTTTTTTCACCTTATGTCCTCAGGCTTGAAGGAGTTGCAGCTTTCTTTTTCTAAAGTAAACTCTCTTCAAATTTTGCACCAAAATCCTATCTTTCCATGGAGATTCTAATGAGACAGATAGACATGTGAGTTGTGTTGGAAAGAGATAGGGTGAGGGACAGTAAGGAAGGCTGTATGCAGCTATGGTTTGATTTTGTACAGGCTTTGACTCCATACTCTTTGAATTTATCTGTTAAATGAAATAAAAATGAAATAAAACTTAAGTACTGTCATCTGCTCAAGGGACTTACCTTTGGTCTGTACAAATAAGGTTTCTGTGGTGAGACACCAAATGAACTCAACTTCCTCTTTCAACAACAAATTTTTCAGTTATCAGCAGAATCTGTGCCGCCCAGAGTTAGGCTTTTTCACTCCCAACTCCCTGCAAAGAAACAGGAGTGCTAATCCCGACAAGGCTCCAGGGTAAGTTACAGCCTAGTATCTTGGAATTGGTGGTTCCATGTGGGAATATTGGTGAGGGCATGAAGATCCAGGATAGAGACAGATGTGGGACCAGTGTCCAACGTGAAAATGGCCACTGGTTTCTCATTTCAAATTTCTTACAGCAAGATCAATCGTGCTTGCCCTTGAGCCTGACTAGAGTACAAAGTCAGGGGTAATGCTATCAAGTACCCCACCATTCTTGAGGAGCATGGAGTATGTGATGCAGCTCACTTTTTGCTAAGGGCTCTGTGGTTCTCCATAACCAGGGAAGAGAGCACAAAGTGTTGAGAAAACTGTGTTAAGTGAGACTCATTGAGACAACTTGACATTTTAAACTCAAAAAAGAGAATTTGAATATTTGTTTTGTGTAATTTATACAATTTCATAATGAAAAAAAAAGTTTTATGTATTAGGTCCTTATTTTGTTAAGTTTAGTTTTTCATATACAGAAATAGCAAGTTTTTTCATGATAGAAGGAAAGAAAGATCATGGACTTTGGAATTGAAAGAACTCTTAATGATTCAACTCTTTCATAATACAGATGGGAAAACTGAGAGTCAGTGAAATAAAGACACTTGATTTCGGATAAATGTGAAAGTAAATACACATGATTTCAGAGTGTGCTCAGGGATGTTTCTTAATCCTTTAAAAGTTGCTTTGTTAACTCTAGCCCTTCTGTATAGAAGAACCCAAAGGAGAGGCACCTATCTTTTAAGTGATTATTGTTCTTATTACTCTGAGTAGTAGAAACCTCTTTGGTTCTGAGCCAAGATGACTGAGTCAAAAGGAAACTTCTACTGGGGAGTCCTTAAGGGTGGATTGTGCCATGCTTTTTGGTACCAGGATCATTGTGGACAGAATAATAAACTTTGTTGTGCTTTTGGTGGGGAGTAGTCTCAGTGCCTAAGTCCTGTCAGTGGGAACATTTTTATTTTGATTGCTTAAATGGATGGAGGGTGTCACTGCCATTTCTATTAATTGAGTAGCTTATCATTTAGCAATTGTTACACAGTAAAATTATTCAGTGCTGAAATAGGTGATATGCTGGTATACTGAGGTGGAAAAAGGCCTGAACTAAGAATCAGGTAATGCATTCAAGGTAATGGTCTTTGCCATGATTCTTGTTGAACACAGGTCCTCCTTTGGTTAAAAGCAGTTCTTATTGGGGTTCAACTAGGAAAGTTGTTAATTCATGTTGTACAGACTGCTCAAACCCTGGAAGTGGTGGAGCATAAGACTGAAAAATGGGTGATCATACTTCTGGGTGATTTCTGTTGGCTTTTCATGGCTAGTTATGTTTGGGATAACTCAACTGATACCATAATAGGCAGGGAAGTCTATACCCTTCAGTCACAGCTCAAGCAAAGAGGACAGAGCTGTCTGTTGCAAAACCACTCTAAGAGGCCCAACAATCAGGACAATGACTGGCAGAGAGTCTGCTTTACTTAAAAACTTTTGGTCAAGAAGTCTACTTACATTGAGGTCAAATTATTTTGCAAGGAAGTTTTTACTTAGTATTGGTTTGCATGCATCACAGGAAGAGTGATGGAGTAGGTGGATCAATAAACACAGAATCAAAAAGACTTGGTCCTAACTCAAGTTCTGCCAATGACTCGCTGCGTGGCCTTGGGCAAGTTGCTTCATTTGTGTAGGTCTCAATATTCTCACTTGTAATAAAGGGAAGAGCTTAGAACAGATGGTCTTTACTTTCCTTCATAACAATGCAATGATTTGACTCTAGGCTCCTAGGTACCTGAGAAAAGTGACATATCATTAAGTGGTAAATAATAGGGCCGTAACATGAAAATTTCATGAGAGGGGACTTTCTGGAAATATAATCTATATCATAAATGAAACCCAGTAAACTTTGTCAAGGACCATTATATTTCATTCAGAATAATGTTATAGTGAGAACTTCAACTTTTAGACCACAGGCAAATTTTTTTGTAATTAATTTCCTTTTTTAATGAAAAACACAAACAACAAACAAGCGAACTAGGCCTGAAATCTGACTTCCACAATGATATTGTCACCGAATCAGTATTACTCAATCTTTTAAGACCAAAGTATCCTTTGAGAAACATAAAAATGTCACTACAAGGTTATTATGGACTTCCGTCCCTAGGAACCAGACCCTGGACTCTTAGAGATGTTTTTTTTTTTTTTAATTTTTTTTAGCGTTTTATTTATTTTTGAGACAGGGAGAGACAGAGCATGAACAGGGGAGGGTCAGAGAGAGGGAGACACAGAATCTGAAACAGGGTCCAGGCTCTGAGCTGTCAGCACAGAGCCCGACGCAGGGCTCGAACTCACGGACCGTGACATCATGACCTGAGCCGAAGTCCGCCGCTTAACTGAAGTCCGCTGCTTAACCGACTGAGCCACGCAGGCGCCCCAATGGACTCCTAGAAAAACCTGCCCCTTTACACTGACATTTTCCAAATACTGCATGCTCAACAGCCACGAATATTGTGTAGATCTGTATTTTCAACAGTTTGTATTATAAGAACAATGATTTTGATTTACAAATATATTTACTATAATAAGGGATATTCTTTTTTAAAATAACACATGCTTTCCAGCCTTCTACTTTAAGAAATTTTATTTTAGCTCTGTTAGCTGTCTCTCACAACTATACATTTTTGGGGATTTTCTAAACCCATAAAAGTACAGTATCTAACCAAGAACCCATGGAGATTACTTTCTATACAAGTAAAGGGGAAATGAACTACCATTTATTTAATGTCTACTGTGTACCAGACATGGAAATAGGTCATTTCATGTACATTTTCCATTTAATCTTCACAACAATCTATGTTGCAGGGACTATGATCTTTTATAAATGAAGAAACTGAAGCCCACGAATATGAATTAAGACATTTCAGGCTAGTCAGCTGATAACTGAGTTAAGATATGACCCTAGTTCTGCCCAAAGAACCTGATTCCTGCTACCTCCAAAATACTGCAACTGCAAAAAATGATATATAGTTAAGCATCTTTCCCAAATGATTAAAAATATAATACAGATGCATGAATGACAGTTAAATTCAAACATTTAAGATTTGTTTGTCAATAGTGTAGTTACTTTAATTCATTTTAGGGATGAAAATAATTTTCACTTCTTCTAATTTATAGAAAAAAATGTCTAGACTTACAGGATATATACAAAGCTTAGTGTTTCTGATGTCAAGTGGGTAATTTAGAGTTGATTCTAATCAATTCAGGAGATAACAGGGTTCCAAATTCAAGTTATTCTTCTTCAGCTGTGATTGTGAGTGATTGAACAAAGGACACCATGGTCATATGGGTCAGACTGGCATAGGTAATAAATGTGAGACTTTTAAGGTTTAAAGAAGGAAAAGGTAAAGTAAGACAAAGCAAGTTAGGTTTCCAAGTGGCTTGTAAAGGTTGCCCCCTAGAGAATGGGAGGGAACCCCCTTCAGAAACCATTCCTTATTTAATTTTCCCTTGTTCTCCAAAGATGGCAACCTCACATACTGGCCCTATTGTCAAAGAAAATAGAAGAAACAAATTTTATAAACATGCTCACTTAACAGTATTAGTGACTTAATGATAAGGGGTGGAAAGAGGGGGAGGACTGACACAGTGAAGATTTGTAGTGTTGTACAGGAAGAGCAGTCACCTTAGTACTGGAAACCTTGGTTTCACTCTCCTCACTCTGCTACATGCTAACTTTATGTATTCAGGTAAATAAGGTCATTTCTCTGAGCCTCATTTTTCTGATCCTTAAGATAGAGATAATATTCACTGACCAGGTTATTCACAACCTATACCTTTACTAATGATTAACAGCAATTATTGGTGCAATAATGGTTTGCAAAGTATAAATCAGTAGGTGGGTTGAGATGGTGGTTGCTGCATTAATGATGACAGTGGCAGTGCTGGTAGTATTATTTAGATACAGGGGTTGAAAGGAACCATGCTCATAAAATCGTGGCAAGTTAGGGCTGGAAGGGAGTTAAAATCATCCAGTTCAAATTGTCATATTTTAATAATGAAGGAAATGAAAACCACAGAAAGGAAAAGGCTTAGCAGGGCAACACAAAGAACATTTGAATAGTTACTAGGACCCACATGTCTTAGCTCCAAATCCAGTGCTCTTTTTCAATATGTACTACTGCTTTTAAGTCTTTCCCAACCTAGGGCAAATATTGTCACATTCATATCACTACTGTTATAAAGAAACTGTTCTAGTACTCTATTCACAGATCTATTATGGTTTGGGTTCATAGGCAAATCTTCATAAAGATCCCTCGTTTTGATGCAATACTATGATGACACCTGGTGGGCAGTCATTTGCCATCTATGCATAGATATTAAAAAAAAGCACTAGAACTAGAATTGAGAATAACAGCCTTATATATTTGATGGGCACTCTTATTCATAGAAATGCCACTTAAAATATCTTTTTGTTTGTGAAAAAAGTTGTATTATAATTTTAGCTTTCTTTGCTCGTAAATTACATTTACAACTGAAATCATAATAGCTGTGACTTTAATAAACTTAATCCTGTTGAGCCTACATTTTCTGATCTCTAAAAGGTATAATAGCAATTAACTCAGAGCTCTTACAAGGATGAGGTAACATGAATAGCACTTGGATAGTGACTGACAGGATGCATGCGAAAACTTCTTGGATTTAGCATTTCACTGAAACTTAGAAGTCTGGTATGAATTGTGATGACATAATAATATAAGTTACATTGGCTCTACCATTGTGAAACCACAGCATTGAGATGGTTGGGATGCAAAACTACTTTTGGTTACATGTTATTGGCAGCTCCTAAGTTTTTAGACTCAGCTCCATTGAGTTATATTTAAAGACCCAACATACCTTTATGTTCTGAGACAACAGACCATTTCTCTTCATTTCCATAAAAAGAATGTTTAATGACCGTATTCTTACTTAAGCTTAAAATCCTGTTGGATTTTAAATAAAAATCCAGAATTGCACGCTTT